TCATTTCTCTGGGATAAATGCCCAGAAATGAATTGTTGTACTGTATGGTAGTGTCAAGTTTAGTTTTTTAAGAACTGCCAAAATGTTTTCCAGAATGGCTCTACCATTTTATATTCCCACCAGCAGTTTATGAAAGATCCATTTCTCTGCATCATTGCCGGAACTTGATGTTGTCATTAATTTTTATTTTAGTCATTCTGATAGAAGTATAGTGACATTTTTTGGAGTTTCAATATGCATTCTCTAATGGCTAATTTAGATTTTTCATTCCCTAATGATTAATTGAAATATTGAATACATGCGTGTGTGGTGGTGGGGTGGATGGGTGTATGGGTGTATATACATTTAACTTTAAATAGACTTTACTTCTTAGAGCAGTTTTAGCTTCACCAAAAAATTGAAAAATACAGAGATTTCCTATATGCCTCCTGCCCCTACATATTCACAGCCTCCTCAACTATGAACATCCCACACCAGAGGGTACATTTATTACAATCTCTCGATCTACATTGACACATCATCACCCAAAGCTCATAGTTTAAATACATAATTTACACCCAAAATCCATAGTATACTCTTGGCATTGCACATTCTATGTGTTTTGTCAAGTATATAATGGCATGTATCCATATAATGATATACCATTATAGTATCATAGTTTCATTGCCTTAAAACTTCTCTGTGCTATGCTTATTCCTCTCCCTCTCCCCACTAAGCCCCAGAAACCACTGATCTTTATTATTTTCTCCAGAGTTTTGCCTTTTCCAGGTTATATAGCTGGAATCATATGGTATGTAGCCTTTTCAGATTGGCTTCTTTCACTTAGAAATATGCATATAAGGTCTCTCCATGCCTTTTTGTGGCTTAATAGCTATTTAAGTGCTGAATAATATTCTAATGTCCAGATATATGCAGTTTATTTATCCATCTACCTACTGAATGACACTTTGTTGCATCCAAACTTTGGCAATTATGAATAAAGTTGCTATAAATGTATGTGTGCAGGTTCTTTTTGTGGGATATCTTTTCAACTAATTTGGGTAAATACTAAGGAGCTCAACTGCTGGATTGGATGGTAAGAGTATGTTTAGTCTTGTAATAAACTGCCAAACTCTCTTCCAAAGTGACAGTACCACTTTGCACTCCTACCAGCAATGAATGAAAGTTTTTGTTGCTTCACATCTTCGCCAGCATTTGATGTGTCAATGTTCTAGATTTTGACCATTCCAATATGTGTCTGGGGTATCTATCTCACTGTTGCTTTAATTTGCATTTCTCTAATGGGATAGGATGCTGAGCATCTTTTCATATGCTTATTTGCCATCTCTATATTTTTTTTGGTAAGATGTCTGTTCAGGTGTTTTGCTCATTTTCTTATGGGTTGTATGGGTTTTTTTTACTGTTGAATTTTAAGAGTACTTTACATATTCTACATATGTGGAATTGTATATGTACATTTTTGTTGGATATGTGGTTTGCAAATATTCTCACTTTGTAGTGTATCTTTTTATCTTATTTAGATCTTTCACAGAAGTTTTTTATCTTGATGAAGTACAATTCGTTTTTTTCTCTTATGTATCATGCTTTAGGTGTCAAGTCTGTGAACCCTTCATCTAGCCCAAGATCCAGAAGATTCTGTCTTGCTTTTCAAATTAAAGTATTGTAGTTTATGTTTTATTTTTAAGTCCATGATCTATTTTCAATTAATTTTGGTATAAAGTGTGAGAGTTAGGTTGAGGTTTGTTTTGTGTCAAGTGTTCTAGAACCATTTGTTGAGGAAGCCATCCTTCCTTCACCAAATTGCTTTTGTACCTTTCTAAAGCATCATTCGAGCATACTTGTCTGGTCTATTTCTGAGTTCTCCATTCTGTTCCATTGATCTGTGTCTATTCTATTGCTAATATCACAGTGATGACATGTAAATGTTAAAATCAGGTAGGGTAACTTCTCCCAACTTATTATTTTTCAAAATTGTCTTAGCTATTCTAGTTCCTATGCCTTTTCATATACATTCTAGAATAATCTTGACTATATCTACAAAATAATCTGGCTAGGATTTTATATACATTGTATCAAATTTGTATAAATTTCAGGAGAATTTGCTCCTTTACAATGTTGAGCCTTCCAATCCATGAGCATAGCATGTCTCTCCACTTATTTGAAACTTCTTTAATTTCTTTCATCACCATTGTGTAGTTTTCAGCATACAGGTCATGCATGTATTTTGTTAGATTTTTATGTAAGTATTTAAATTTTTGAGTGATTGTAAATGGTATTATATTTTTTAATTTCAGTTTCCACATGTTTGTTAATATGTAGAAGTGCAATTGATTTTTATTTGTTGATGTTGCATCTTGTGGCCTTGATGAACTTACTTACTCATTTTAGGAGGGTTTTTCTGTTTTATTTTATATTCCTTGTGATTTTCTCATAGACAATCATGTCATCCGCAAGTAGTGAGTTTTATTTCTTCCTTTCTAAGATTAGAAATGATATTATTTCTTTTCTTGCCTCATTGCCCTGGCTAGAACTTCCAGCACTTGAATAAGAATGGTGAGAATTCATATCTCTACTTTATTCCCAACCTAAGGGAGCAAGTACTAAGTTTTTCACAACTAAGCATAATGTTAGCTATAGGTTATAAACATGCTGTTTATAAACATGCCTTATCAAAGTAAGGAAGTTTCCTCTGTTTCTACTTTTTCTACTTTTCTAAGAGTTTGTCATGAATGGGGGCTGAATCTTCTCAAATTCTGTATCAACTGATATGATCATGTAATTTTCTTCTTTAACAAGTTAATATGGTGGATTATATTGATTGCCTTTAAAATAATGAATCAATCTTGCATTCCTAGAATAAAGCCAACTTGACACGGTGTATAATTTTTAATGTGTTGATGAATTCTATTTGCCCATATTTGTTAAGGATTTTTGTACCTATATTCATAAGGGTATTGGTGTGAAGTTGTCTTTTTTATAATGTATTTGTCTGGTTTTGGTAACAAGGTAATACTGACCTCATAAAATAAACTGGGAGTGTTCCTTCCTCTTCTATTTTCTGGAAAGATTATGTCAAATTGGTACCAATTCTTCTTTAAACATTTAGTATAATTCCCCAGTGAAACCATATAGACCTGGGGATTTTTTATGGGAATTTTCAAATTATGATTCAATTTCCATAATAGTTATAAGGTTATTCAAATCATCTATTTCATATTGGATGAGTTGTGGTTGTGTTTTTTGAGGAAGTGATCCATTTAATCTAAGTTGTCAAGTTTGTGTGTGTAGAGTTGTGCATAGTGCTACTTTATTATCCTTTAGGTATCTGCAGGGTCTGTCTGGTGCCTCCCATTTCAGCCTTGGTATTGGTAACCTTTGTTGTCTGTCTTCTTTTCTTGCTACAGGTTTGTTGTCTTTACTGCTCTTTTCAAAGAACTAACTCTGTGTTTCATTGATATTCTCTTTTTTTTCCTGTTTTCTATTTATTCCTGTTCCTGTCATTATTATTGCCTTCCTTCTGCTTGCTTTGGGTTAAATTTTGCTCTTCCTTTTCTAGGTTCTCAAGGTGGAAGTTATATATTGATTTGTGACTCTTTTCTAATGATTTAGCATTTAAATTTAGTGATATACTGATACAAAAATTTAGTGATAAAAATTTTCCTCTCAGCACTGATTTATTTGCATTTTATAAATCTTGACTTATTTTTCTTGCTTTAGACTGGATTTTAATCATAGTATAATAATCAGTTTACTAATCTTTAAAAAAATATTTGTGTATATGATCTTCTACATCTTAGGTGGTAATAGCTCTTAAAAGATTCTGATATATCAAACTTTAGTAATAAACCCCTGAAGAGACTTTTTTCTTTCTTTGTATTGTATTTATTTTTATTGAAGTATAGGTGACATACAATATTATATTAGTTTCAGATGTATAACATAGTGATTCAACAATTATGTAGGTTATGAAATGCTTACCACAATAAATGTAGTTACCACCTATCACCATACAAATTTATTACAATATTACAATATAATATTACAATATAGTACACAGCATTATTGACTATACTCCCTATGCTGTACTTTTCAGTCTTGTGACTAATTTATTTTATAATTGTAAGTTTGTACCTCTTTATCCCCTTCACTTATTTTGCTCATCCCCACACCCTCCTTGCCTCTTGAGACTTTGTCCTTAACTTATAGATGATTTAGAATTGTGTTGTAGTTTCCAAATTCAGAATTGTGCTGTTAGTTTAGTGAGTCAGATATTTTCCTGTTATCTTTATGTTATTGATGTCTAGTGTAATTCTATTGTGATTGGGGCACACATTTGGTAAGATTTCAACTATTTTATATTTGTTGAAGTTTGTTTTATGGCCCAAAGTATGATCTATTTTGGTACATGTTCCATGGGCTGTTGAAAAGAATGTGTATTCTGCTGTTGTTGAGTGGAGCGCTTTATAAATCCTGACTTCATCCTGCTGGTTGATGGTGTTGTTGAGCCTTCTATATCCTTGCTTATTTTCTGTTAAAATAAGAGACTGTTTTATCAGCTCTTGAGACAGGGGTGTTGAAGTCTCTACCTACTATTGTAGATCTGTCTATTTCTCCTTTCATTTTTATCAGATTTGGGTTCACATGTTTTTCAACTCTGTTGTTCATGGCATACACATTTAGAGTTGTTGTATCTTCTTGTTAGATTCACCATTAGAGAATGTCCCTTTCTGTCTCTGGTAGTTTTCTTCATTTTGAAATCATTTTGCCTAATATTAATACAGCCAATTCTGCTTTCCTTTGATTAATGTTTACATCATGTACCTTCCATCTTTTTAATTTCAACTTACCTATATCATTGTATTTGAAGTGATTTTTTTCTTAAACAATAGACAGGCCATACTCTTCAATCCACTCTGTCAATTTCTGCCTTTTAATTTATGTTTTTAGACTATTTAGATTGAATTTATAAATTAATATGCTAGTGCTTAAGTCTACCATTTTATATTTTATATTCTGCTTGGTCTATTTTTCATTTCTGTTTTCTCTTTTCTGTCTTTCTGTTATTTACTTGGATGTTTTCTAGAATTCCATTTTCATTTATCCATATGTTTTAAATGCATCACTTTGTGTAGCTTTTAACTAATTGCTGTAGATATTACTTTATATATATATACATGTACACATATATATGTACATATTATATATCTTAATATAGTCTACTAGTGATGACATTTCACCAGTTTGAGTGAAGAATAGAAATCTTATTTCCATTTAGTCTTTTTACCCTCTCCCCTTATAATTGACTTAAATATTTCCTCTACATATGTTTAGAACCACATCAAAGAGTGTTGTAATTCTTTTTTCAACCACCAAACATAATTTAGAAAAGTCAAGGGATGGAAAGCCTGTTGAATTCACACCCATGTTTCTGATCATCTTACTCTGTCTCCTTACTGGTGCTCCAGTGTTCCTTCTGTCATCATCCCTCCTGTGTTTGGGGGCACTTGCTCTGGCTGTTCTTTTAAAGCAGGTCATCTGGTGAGGCTGTGATGTTGGGGTGGGGAGAATTTATTTCCAGCTATAGAGAAGGAAGTCCTGGCTCCCTGCTTGGCCTGCCTTAACATTACTCCAGTGTGGGTGTGTGTTGGCACTGCCTCATTACAGCCTCGTGAGGGTGGGGATCAAGGGCCACTTGGCCTTTGCAGGCATGGGTGAGAGCAGGAACACAGTATTTTCTGTGGTTTTTGACTTGAGTAGATTCGTTATTGCCTAACAGTTTTCTACCTTTCTAGGCTGCTTCTTTCCTTATCCTTTGGCCAGAGACAACAGGCTTTTCATGTTTTTTTTTAGGTCTGTACCCATGGGTGTTTCCAAGTTGCCAGCCTATCTGGTTCCAATACTGCGATATATGAGGAAAAGAAAATGCAGGGAGCTCATCTCAAAGTCATTCTTCAGATCCCGAAGGTCTTTATACAATCTATCTTTTTCTTTTCACCTCTTAGAGTCTGTTTACATTGTTTTATATATAATGTACAGGGTTTTTAGTTTTACTTAGGGGAAAGAACAGGGAAAAGTTCACTTACTCCTCTTCCCAGAAGTAGAAGAGCCCTGCGGTCCCTTTAAATGATGTGAAAATGCAATTATTAATAGAAATTTCCTCATAATATGTTATTGAGTTAATTGAAAAGCAAGTTGCAAAACATTATATTTTTACAAGTAGACTATGTATACGAAAATCTAGAAGAGTGTCTAGAGTTGGTATCAGTGATTAACCTCCAGATATAGGAAACATCACTGATATTTTCTTTCTATTTATCAGTCTTTTCTGATTTGGCGGATGGCAATTGTTTAAATCAATATATAAAGAATTTCAAGATATAAATAGGAATTTTGAGGCATTTGAATGTATTAGGAATAATAAAATCATAATATTAGTTACTATTAATTAAGTCAACAAAGCACTGGGTGCTTTATCTGTGCTACCTCACTTCCTCCTAACCTCTGAGGTAGGCTTTGCCTGTCCCTATTCTACAAGTGAAGAGACAAGTTCAGAAAAGTTAACTCAGTTGACTGTGTTTACAAAGTTGGTAAGAGATAGGATGCTAATTTAGGCTTAACTGGCTTCCTGCTGCCTTCCAACAATCACTGACATATTTGCATCACCTTACGGTTTACAAAGCACTTGTCACATGTGTTCACATATCTTCTCAATAACCAAGAGGTGGCATTGAAAAGGACACTGCAAGTTGACTTCACAAGATTGGTTTTAGCCTGTGCCTTCAATGAGATGTGAGATCCCACAAAATGAGACTTTGAGCCAGATGTCTTTCCAGCTTATTTTGTTCACCTCTCCTTTGGGGATATCCTCTGGAATCTTCCCATCCAAAAGCTCACCCACATGGTCTTGGACAATCTGTGTCCATGGAGCCTCCCCCAGTGAAGACACAGTAAGCTCAGCAGGTGGATGCAGAAACATCCCCCCCTGGACAGCAGTGCCACTAGAGGGAAGAGAAGGTCCAGGGCCCCTTCCTATGTACAAGTGAAAGCATATGACTCATGATTCAGATTCAGCCATGAGCCCCTTCCTTTTAATTTTTCCAACCTAAGTTCCACAGGCAGGATTCCTGTATCAGCCCTAAAAGGAAGAGAGAGAATAAGTAGGCACAGCTTTGCAAATAGTCAAGCTGGTCTTCTGAGTTCCTCCACCCCTTTCTTTTTAACCATTAGCCTTTGTGTCTCCTTCTTCTGCACTGATTAGACTCAAGCAGGCTTTGATTGTCTGCCACCCTCTCCTTCTTCTCCTCCCCAAGCCAGAGCCCAGGAAAGACTTCTTTTCCCTTCCTCTTCTTTCTTTCTCTTCTTCCTTTCTCTTCTTGCAGGCCATTTGGTCTTCACACATGATTTGTTTGGCTTACATGGTGTCAAATAGTTGGTTTTTAATTGGTCACTTAGTTTAATGTAAACTAATTGACAACATTTGAAAATCAAAACATTTCATAGAACTCAGTTTCTGGACTCTCTTAAAAAAACTGGAAAATCTGGCACTATTGGGCCATATTGCTCCATGGCACCATTAGTGCAGAGCTGAGTAGTGCCCACCCACTTTTAATGGGGCACATTCACTCCACTTTATGACTAGTTACAGTTCACTGAGTACATTACCTACCAAATGGCATCCTTTTGTGTACCCTGCTATAAATTATTCTCCTACTATTCCCTACCTCTATAAAACACGATTTCTCTTTCAGACTGATGCCAGGTCTTCAGAGGGGAGCATGTGATTGAATTTATTGTCATTACAGAAAACTTGCTACTGAAGTATGCTCTCCAGACCAGCAGCATAGGCAAAAACCTGGGAGCTTATTATAAGTGCAGAATCTCAGGATCTATACCAGACTTACTGAATCAGAATCTGCATTTTTAACAAGATCCCTGGGTCATATAAGATCTGCTGCTTTAAAGTAAATGTCCTTTGTCCCTCATCTCACATTTTAAAGAAGAAAAATTTATAAAACCAGTCAATGAGACTTGAACGTGGATAAATGAAAATGAAAATATTTCTGGGGTTTTAAGGGAGATTTCTTTTCAGAATCACTACCTTCTAGACCTAGAAGATCTAAACTCTGAAATGAGAACTGGAAATTCTTCAATGATTCATAGCTCAGCTTTTACTTTGTGGCTAAAATCTTGAAAGCTTAGGAGGGGAACTGTCTTGTCCAAAGTCAAAAGCTAGTGGTAGAGCCAGGAGGGAAAGAGAGAAGAGGTTTCCTTGCACAGTAGCCAAGGGGGCAGGAATGACATGGTCCCTGGGTTACTGATCTCATATTATTTTGGGAGATTTCTAAGCAACTTTCATTTACCTCTGGTCCTGCTTCAGCTAGAGCAGTGTTTCTCAACCTGACTGTGTAGAATAATCACCTGGAGGGTTTGCTAGACCTTGTGTCCACGCATAAAGACATCTCAGACCTGACATCAGTCTCCTTCTGCACCCCCTAAACACCTCAGCTAACACTCAGGCCCAAGGGTGAGCATCTGGGCAGCACCATCTGCTCTTGGGAGCCTAATCGAGAAAAAAGGACCATGCACATCCTCAGTGAGGACTTGAATCTCTTTAAGAAGGACTCTCAGAGTTCCAGCACCCAGAGTACAACCGAGAAGATGGGGACAAGGCATCCACATGGGCACTGCCCTTTGACTCCACCAAGACTCCTCAGCCTGTGTGGAGGGGTACAGCCGGAAGAAGGCCAGAGCAGGGTCTCTAAGCCTGGTACATGAAACGTAGTCTGACCCAGCAGCACCCACGTATTCTGGGGTATGTCGGAAATGCAGACTCCCACCCTCACGCCAGACCTCCTGAATTGGAATCAGCACATTCACGAGGTTACCTGGGACATCTGTGTGCATATGAAGCCTAAGCAGTGCTGGCCTAGACACAGAGCCAAGGCAGGGACCTCTTCCCCCAGTCTGAGGGCAGGACAAGTCCTGGAGTGTGGGAACAATGCTTTTCCTCATCTTTGAATCCTGTGTAGAATCCGCCGTCCACTTAGCAAGTGATTAGTATTTGGTAAATTTGACATAGTTAATTGCAAAGTAATGCAAGCTATTTCTAATTTTATTTCAGTTTAGTCTCCCAAATGATTGTTTCACAAGAAAGTAAGTAATTCCAGAGCAACTCATGAATGTAGCAAAACAGAAGGAAATTATTTAACAATGTAACATTCCCAGAACAAAATTAAGTATTTTTGAAGGACAGGGAGAGAGACAAAGATAGAGACAGGAAAGAGAGAAAAAGAGAGAGAGAGAAGTCAAACTGCCCATTGCTCTAGACTATAACTTGCACAGAATTGATCATTTGATTCGTCAGAGAGTCACTCTAGACAGGCAAGTTCTCAAGGTGGTGGCCTCTGCATCTAATCTAGGCAGAGTTTCACATTAACATTGGTATATTCCAGCTTCGGTTCTGAAAAATGGAATGAACTACAAATACTGAACCAATGTTCACAAGTGTCCTCAGTGGCTGGAGCTGAGTAGGCCGGCACGGACGGGTGAGCGCGCCCTGGGCCCAGAAGCCAATGCTCCCTGCTTCCTTTCATCACCTGCCTCACTTACGTTCATCTGCCACCCTGCTGTCTCCTGTGGATATTTATTTAACATTTTCTGCTATAGAAGGCCCCAAAGTTTGTCTCCTATAAAAGACAAAACATAAAAACCTCAAAACAGGACAATTTCAACTAAAGCATGCATACAACAAGTATTTGTGGAGAGCTTGGTGCCAAGTCCTCAGAGGGAGAAACAGATGGGAGGCAGACGTGCAGCTCACAAGATGTTAGGAGAGAAAAACTAAGAGCACAAACATTCACCCTAAATGTTCAACATGATCAGGGCTGCATGAGATGCACAAAGTAATAATCCCACCCTTCAGACCATGATTGCCCTGATCTCCGTGAGGATGTAGCTCAAACCTTTTAGGTCTTCCTTTGGGAGACACATCAGTGGGATGTCTGGGTACCCAGAGCTCTTGGTAAGGATTTCCCTTTCCCATTCAGACATTTGCTAGGAGGTACATCTAGGTTTCATCTGCCTTTGCCAACTGATGGGCCTAAGAATAAGAATCACAAAGGAAACATGGATGGTTCCCCACATCCAGAATATTTTTAAAGGACTCTCCATTTACAACACTCTGCTTTGAGTATCAGAAAACCAATACCATTAAATTCCACTTTACACAGAGGTGATCAGAGTAAAGTTAGAGAATGCATTATTCTAAAAGGGTCTTATAGGAACACACACATGTACATATACATATGCACATCTATATAATGTGTGTGTGTATGTAGATGTGTATTTGTACAATCTGCTTCTCTCCTCTCTCCCTTAAAGTGGCTAAACTCTTTGTGAGTTTCTTACAGTAAATTAGGATAATTGGGCATGTTTAGAGACTATTAAGGGGGACTTTCCCCTTCACAAATATTCAGGGACACAGCAGGCTAGGTGTCCCATGGGACTGGCCAATCACACCTTCTCTGGTGCTTTTTCCTAAATTAGTTCTTGTATTTCTTTTCTGAGACTGGTTCAACTTAGAAGGAAAAGGTTAAACCTCCTAATCCTCCCTATGCAGAACTGAGGGGATTTGGGCCCTCAGAACATAAGGGCTGTAACCTTCCTTGGATTTATTGAAGTGCATGATTACAACCAGGAAAAAAATGTATAGAGTACTTGGGATATGAGTCGTTTGAATGGAAAGTAAGACATGAATAATTAATGGGATTAAGAGAGAAGAGTACCTACATTTATTTTAAGGTGCTCCTGGCAGCTCACAGGGGCTTTAAAAATCCTCAAGACTTAAGGATGCACCATCTCTGTGGGAAGTAATACCAGCTTTTCACGTATTAGTTCAACTCCAAAAGTCCTGAAATAACTGACATCATGTCTGACTTTTAGGGTGGAAAAATACAAGTGCTAAATCTTTGTCTGGCATTTTAGATACCATGGCAGAGGATACATTGCAAGAAAAAAAAAATACATCAGAGCCACAGGATTCCTCAGAGAAGTAGCTGCTGTGAAAATGGCAGAGCCCTGGAAGCAGCAGATGGCCACAGGCAAGCTGGTTGCTCCCTGCCGTCTGCACCTTCTTGTGTCTACAATAAGAAGACCAGACCAGAAGAATCTCAGGCTTCTGTTGGCCCCAACCCTCCCTCTGACTCTGCCCAGCCATGGTATTGTAGACTGAAGAATGATCCCAGAGGTATCCTGGTCCTAACCCCAGAACCTGGGGATGTTGCCTTAGATGGCATAAAGGACTTTGATAATATGATTAAGGAAATTGAAATGGGCAGATCATCCAAGTGGATGATCCGAGCGGACCCTAACTGTAATCACAAGGAGACCTGACACAGAGAGTGAGTGGGAGGCCGTGTGGCCACAGAACCAGAGATTGGAGGGATGTGGCCACAAGCCAAGGAACACCAGCAGCCACCAGAGGCTGGGAGAAGGAGTGATTTTACCCTGGAGCCCCAAGGAGAACCCACCTGTTGACACCTTGATTTAAGCCCTGATTTGAATACTCAGTCCAGACATTCAGCCTCCAGAACTGTAAGAGAATAAATTTCTGCTGTTTAAGGCATTAAGTTTGTGGTGGTGTGTTACAACAGCCACAGGAAAGTAGTATATACAGACACTGAGCCGCTTCATGCAGTAATGTTGCTTGCCCACCCACTGCGAGCATTTCAGTTGGTAATCCCTGGAACTCTTCATTAAGCAAGACTCTGAAGCTATAGTTTGTCACCCATTTATTTATTTGCTCACTCATTTATTCAGCCTGTGTTCACTGAGTACCTGTAGGCCAGGCTCTCCACAAGTACACAAAACACATCCTTCCCCTCCTCACAGTCCTGGGTGACAAATAAGTACAATAGTGCTGGGGTCCTGGAAGGAGTGACACAGACATGGAGAGGTAGAGAGGAAGGGCTTCACCATTGTTGGTCATCAGAGGGGCACCCATGGGTAGCAGGAGGATCCTGGGTGCCAGACAGGAAACAAAATGGGAGGTGGAAAAATGCCAGGGCATTTGCCCACATCATTGCTCATGGCCATGGGGGGACAGCCAGTCTAACTCCAGGTCCACTGACCAGGTTC